AAGGACGAGGAGGTGCAGGAGCCCTTCCCACCCTCCTCCCCTCTTTATCAGCGTCCCTTCCTCACTGGGTCTCCTCTCCCAGGATGGCTCCCTCTGCGCACACCTTCCTCCTCAGGGTGAAACCAGGCCTCGCGAGGCTGGACAGGGCCAGCGTCTGGGCCAGGGAAGGACGCTCTCCTTCCGGCCCAGAGCACCTGCCCAGAGCCTGCTCCGGCTGAGAAGTCTCCCAACTGCGCCAGACACTTTATTTCTGCTGGGAATTAAGAAAGCGTGCGGGGCCGTATTTTATCTCTCCCTCTACCTGGCACCTCTCTGACAGCCCTGAAGAGACTATCTGGGCGCTGACCATCTCTAGATCATAATGGGACATGAAAAATGATGCAGGAGTCACAGGTCCATAGGAAACAATTCAATTCTGCTCCAGCAGTCTGTTTGGGTCACACCATGGGTGCTCTGCCCGGGGCTGAGGGCAGGTGGGAGGCTGGATGAGACCAGGAAGCCCACAGTCAGAGAGAAGCAGCAGGGCCTGCGTGTGAGCCGAGCAGTGGTGGAGGTCTGGGAGCATGGTCCTGGGCTGGCCGGTCAGAGTTCCCTGGGGTGGGAGGCTGAGTTGGGAAGCCTGGTGCAGAGCATTCACGGAGAACAGTGGGACGGTGGCTGGCTGGCTTTCCCCCGCCCTCAGGTGGAAGGTTCCATGCACGGGCAGATTCCACTTGCCTTGTTTAGTGTTCCATGGAAAATGGGCCCCATCTTATCAGAGGTAGCCCTTCCAGCCCTTGTTGATCCACAGGACTCACCCCGACTGCTCTCGGACCCACATAGAGAAGACTGGCCATGGGCCAGAGGCAAGATACCCGAGGAGGAGTCTTCCCAGTCCCTGCCCTTCCTCCTGACATCCCCCCTAAGCACGGGGTCAGCCTGGCACACACAGGCCCCGGGCACGGAGTCTCCTCCATGGCCTCCCTCCTTCCCCCATCTGCACAGTGGCAGAGCCCAGCTGGGTCTCGTTCCTGCACCTCTAACCGCCCCGCCTCACATAGACTTTCCTCTCCCTTCTTGCTGGGGAAGCTGAGCCCCCCACCTGGCCCCCTGCTCTCCCCTCTTCTGCTCTGACCTTTCCCGGACCATCCCCAAGCCCATCACGCCTGCTTCCCAGCAGCTCCGTGTAGTCAGCGTCCTCTTGATGTCGCCGCTTGCCACCTGTGTGACCTCGGGCTCGTTTCTTAACCTCTTTGAAACTCCATTTCCTCGCTTAGAGTTAGGACAATTCCATTGCATGCATCATAGGGGAAGTGATGACAATCCAACAATATCATCAGTGTAACAGTCAGCTGTGTCCCTGTGGATGGAGCAGTGCTGTGTACCCCAGGCGGGACCTGAGTCCCTGCTCCGGCCACTCACCTCCTAGCCTTGACTACCTTCTCTATGGAAAGGGGAGAATGTCTGCGGGAACCTGTTCTCCGGGGTACCAGGAAGGCATCATGGTCAGAGGAGGAGGCCACTGGGGCTGGGGAGAGGAGCTTGCAAGTCCAGGGCACGGACTTGGGAGAGGAAGGGGCTGGGGTGTCGGGAATGGAGTGATACACGGGGTCAGAGGGGCCCGGCTGAAGAGGTTGCATTTGGTTTGATGGCCCAGGGAACCTGGACCCCAGCTCCCCTTGCCAAACAGGCATGTCCTCACGGGCTTCCTCCCAGAGTAGCTGGGGGAGATGAGATAACAGGGGCAGGAGGGCCCACCACTGTGTTGTTAGCCCTGTGCCTGCCCATCCCGGCCGAACCCCAGGTCCGCTGCTTCTCGGAGCTCTGGCTCCTTGTCGGCAGGAGAGAGATAACACTCCCTACCTCAGGGACGGATAGTCATTACATAAGCATGAGAACTAGAGAAACATGCCCAAGAGAAGACAGCGGCCGGGACTGGGGCCTGGTCAGTTGCAGGAATTTTCTGCAGGAGAATATTGCAAGTTTGGGGGAGACTAGGAGGGGGCGATGGTCTAGGAGGGAGGGACGGTCTAGGAGGGAGGGACGGTCTAGGAGGGAGGTTCGGTCTAGGAGAGAGCTGGGTGCCGAGTCCCAGGAAGTGCTGGGCGGGAGACCAGGACACCTGCTCAGCCTTCTGGACCCTTCACTCAAACACTGGAATGGAGGTGGTTTACGGGGAAGCCAGGGAACCCTAAGTGGAGCCGGGACTTCACTGAGTCCTCTTCCTTCCTTCTCCCTGTGACAGGCACCCCCACACGTGGCAGTTCCTGTGCTGGGGGAGCTTCCATGCACAGCACCGTTCTCCCCCTCACTCCACACGGGGCCGAGCGGGGACCAGGGGCAAACAGTGGCCCCTGACCCCTCACAGTGGGTCGGCCCCAGTGTCCTGTCTTGTGCCCCTGGCCAGCTGGCCTCTTGCTCTGTCTCCTGCCCTGCCTTCTGCTCTGTCCTTCCTGGCGGTGAGTCTGCCCTTCCTTGTTGTCACCTTGCTGACTCACGGCACCCGCCTCCCCTACCCAGCTGTCTTGACGCAGCCAAAACTCACTTCGAATCAGAGACCAGAAGCCCGGGGGAGCTTGTGACTGGCTAGCCCGGTCTCCGGACACAAGGGCAGTTGGCCACAAAAAGTCAGCTGGTGCAGGACAGAAGCTCCATAATAGCCGTGGCAACCCAGGTTCCCGGGCCCATCTGCCCCTGGTGGCCCTGCCTCCGCTTCCCCATCTATAAAATGGGGGTGTTCATGCCAACCCTGCCTGCCTTTCAAGGTTTGTTGAGAGAGATGTGCAAACGTGATGAGGAATGAGGGGTGCGTGGCAGGCAGAAGCTCTGGCAAAGACATAAAGTGCAGTCCATTTGCGTGACCCCTGCTGTCTATTGCTTGGAACATCTTGGGACTTTAGGCTGCAGAGTCCACCAGGCGCCTCCTGCATCAGGGAGGATGGGACAGGCTGCGGAGCTGGGATGCTTGGAGTTCAGAGACCCCTAGTGGCCTGAACGGGCACAGAAACAGATCCGGAGAGAGGCAGGTGGCCTGGAGCCTGGGAGTCAGGCGGTGCCCTGGTGTCCTCCTGGCACCCACACACCCCGTGAGTCGAGTAACTGTGCCAACTCCACACACACACTTCCAAGGGGCAGCCCTGGCCGCAGTCAGGAGCCCCAGCCCTGAGCTCTACACCAACTAGGAGCCGGGGGGCCCAGAAGCTCAGGCACCCTGGCACCCACAGCTCGCGTCTCTGAGATGGCATAGGGTGAGGTGCAACTCGCTGCCATGCCCCAGCCTGGAGGGGGGCAGTCTTCAGCCAGAGGCCAGCTTGTTTGGGCAGAGCCAAAGGTGTACCAAGTGTTTGGGCAGAGCCAGTGGTGTACCAGGTGTTTGGGCAGAGCCAGTGGTGTACCAGATGTGCTGTGGGGACACTTCCGAGCTGCTCAAAACTGGGACAGGGACAACGCGGTCCCCGGTCCAGAGAAACCCTCCTGCAAACACAGGGCCCTGAGGGCTGCACAGGGAAGGGAAGTGGGTGGGGCTTTAGAGAGGACCTGCAGGTTTTCAGCTGTGTGGGTGTCTGCTCATGCGACCAGCCGGTGTGGTCTGTGTGCCTAGGCACCTGTGCGCCCAGGTGGGCTGTCTGCCTCCCACCCTCGCCTGCTCTAGCACTGACCCCTGCTCTAACACTGGCCCCTGCTCTAGCACTGACCCCTGTGCTCTAACACTGGCCCCTGTGCTCTAGCACTGGCCCCTGTGCTCTAACACTGGCCCCTGTGCTCTAACACTGGCCCCTGTGCTCTAACACTGGCCCCTGCTCTAACACTGACCCCTGTGCTCTAACACTGACCCCTGTGCTCTAACACTGACCCCTGCTCTAACACTGACCCCTGCTCTAGCACTGACCCCTGCTCTAACACTGGCCCCTGCTCTAACACTAGACCCTGCTCTAACACTGACCCCTGCTCTAGAACTGGACCCTGTGCTCTAACACTGGCCCCTGCTCTAACACTGACCCCTGCTCTAGCACTGACCCCTGCTCTAGCACTGACCCCTGCTCTAGAACTGGACCCTGTGCTCTAACACTGGCCCCTGCTCTAACACTGACCCCTGCTCTATCACTGACCCCTGCTCTAACACTGGCCCCTGCTCTAACACTAGACCCTGCTCTAACACTGACCCCTGCTCTAGAACTGGACCCTGTGCTCTAACACTGGCCCCTGCTCTAACACTGACCCCTGCTCTAGCACTGCCCCCTGCTCTAACACTGACCCCTGTTCTAACACTGACCCCTGCTCTAGCACTGACCCCTGCTCTAACACTGACCCCTGCTCTAGAACTGGACCCTGTGCTCTAGCACTGACCCCTGCTCTAGCACTGACACCTGCTCTAACACTGAACCCTGCTCTAGAACTGGACCCTGTGCTCTATCACTGACCCCTGCTCTAGCACTGACCCCTGCTCTAACACTGACTCATGCTCTAACACTGATCCCTTCTATAACACTGACTCCTGCTCTAACACTGACTCCTGCTCTAACACTGACTCATGCTCTAACACTGATCCCTGCTATAACACTGACTCCTGCTCTAGAACTGACCCCTGTGCTCTAACACTGGCCCCTGTGCTCTAACACTGGCCCCTGCTCTAGAACTGACCCCTCCTCTAACACTGGCCCCTGTGCTCTAGCACTGACCCTTGCTCTAACACTGACCCCTGTACTCTAACACTGACCCCTGTGCTCTAACACTGACCCCTGTGCTCTAACACTGGCCCCTGTGCTCTAACACTGGCCCCTGTGCTCTAACACTGACCCCTGCTCTAACACTGGCCCCTGCTCTAGAACTGACCCCTGCTCTAACACTGGCCCCTGTGCTCTAGCACTGACCCCTGCTCTAACACTGGCCCCTGCTCTAGCACTGACCCTTGCTCTAACACTGACCCCTGTGCTCTAGCACTGACCCTTGCTCTAACACTGACCCCTGTACTCTAACACTGACCCCTGTGCTCTAACACTGACCCCTGTGCTCTGTTGCAGATGAACCGGCCGATCCAGGTGAAGCCTGCGGACAGCGAGAGCCGAGGAGGTAGTAGCTGCCTGCGCCAGCCCCCTTCACGTGAGGGCCCACTTGTCTCTGCCCCCTCGTCCCCTCCCGCCTCCCTCTCCCAACGCAGCAATGCAGCGACTCCTGCCACCTGCCCTGTCTCCCCCTCAGGCAGGGTTTTGGAGCTCTCGGGGACAGTGAAAGGAAGAAGGGTGACTGGGGTCTGTCGAGTGTGGGGTTCGGTCCTTTCCATGAGGGAGCAAGCAATGAGGATGTCCGGGACACTCTGCCGCTGCCTGTAGGACATGGAAAACGTGCTCCTCCCACTTCCCTGTCACCAAGGAAACCCCACTGTGATGGAACTTGACCCGTTGAAAGGATGCTGGGCCAGGATGTAGGCAATGGAGGTGGGACACGGGAGGGTTCAGGCTAGAGGGGGCACATCTGAGGAAGGCTCCTGTGAGGTGTTGGGGTGCTTCCTGTGGGGTATAGGATTGTTTCCCGTGGGGTGTTGGGGTGCTTCCTGTGGGGTAGAGGATTGTTTCCCATGGGGTGTTGGGGTGCTTCCTGTGGGGTATAGGATTGTTTCCCGTGGGGTATAGGACTGTTTCCCGTGGGGTGTTAGGGTGCTTCCCGTGGGATATAGGACTGTTTCCCGTGGGGTGTTGGGGTGCTTCCTGTGGGGTATAGGATTGTTTCCTGTGGGATGTTGGGGTGCTTCCTGTGGGGTATAGGATTGTTTCCCGTGGGATGTTGGAGTGCTTCCCGTGGGGTATAGGACTGTTTCCCGTGGGGTGTTGGGGTGCTTCCTATGGGGTATAGGATTGTTTCCCGTGGGGTATAGGACTGTTTCCCATGGGGTGTTGGGGTGCTTCCCGTGGAGTATAGGACTGTTTCCCGTGGGGTGTTGGGGTGCTTCCTGTGGGGTATAGGACTGTTTCCTGTGGGGTGTTGGGGTGCTTCCCGTGGAGTATAGGACTGTTTCCCGTGGGGTGTTGGGGTGCTTCCTGTGGGGTATAGGACTGTTTCCTGTGGGGTGTTGGGCTGCTGAGGGCAAGATCCTGGAGCTGGATTTAGGGAGGAGGTGTCTGAAAGGGAACAGAGCAGGACACAGCCTCACATAAACCCCAGCCACATTCTCACAGAGGAAACTGACTTCCACCTGTGAGGCCTCCAGGGCACACAGGCTCAACCAGGCCAGACCCTCGGCTTCCTCTGCCAAGCACCCATGCCCACACCACGCCAGGTCAGGCCCCCCTGCCCCCGGCTTATCCCCATCTGGGCATGGTCGGGCAGGTAATAAGGGATTTCTCTCTCCCTTCCCTTCCCTCCCCACCCCCAAAATTTTCTAGCAATTTAAGAGCAAACGGTAAAATGGGTAAAAGCTACTTGTAAATTCAGAGCCAAGATCCTTGTCCTGAGGGGACTCAGGGAGGCCACAAAAAGAGCGCCTCCTGCTGGCAGGGAGAGTAAGTGCCACCTGCCGCCCTCTCTGGGGAGCCAGGATCAGCGCAGGCCAGGCCTGGGGGCAGTGGCCTGAAGGAGAGAGACGCCACACCTGGAGAAGTCAGCCCAGGAGGCAGGCCCCTGAGGTGGAGCGGGGGGTGCCTGTGTGCGGAGCAGACAGCTCAAAGTCCAGCCAGTCTCTGGAACCGGAGCCCGGAGCGGGGCGGCGGGCACCCCTCTGCCCAGCAAGGCCGCGCCAAGCTCTAACTCAAACCTTCGCTTGCCTCCGAGGCAATAGCTCTCTGACTCCAAGTTGCTAACCTCATCTCCTTTCTCCCATATATCTCCTGCCGCTGACACTTGCCCCAAACCCGATTAATCAGCTCTTTTATTCTTCCCGCGGTGGAAGGGGGAAAGCAGCGCCAAACCCAAACATCTATCTATTAATTGCATATTCAATATTAAACAGGGAGGTGATCCTGAGTCAGCACTATCACCAAGCTAGTTTTTAAAAAACGAAAGTATATCCATTAAATACTTCTTCTGGGTGGAGGGGCCGGGGGAGAGGTGAGCATTAAAAAAAGATGAAAGGAGTGGGGACAGGAGAAGGGTGGGGAGGCAGGGGTGGGGGTGGGAGGAGGAATGCTATGGGCAAGGTGAAGGAAAAGGGAGCAGGAGGAGAGAGGCCTGGAAGAAAGTGGAGGAGGCCAGAGAATAGAGAGCTCATGTTGGCCTGGAGCAGGCAGGGAGGGCTTCCTGGAAGAGGAAGGAATTGGACCAAAAGGTGTAGACTTGGCAGAAGACAGTGAGCACACGTGAAAATGGAGCCCTAAACACAACTCCAAGGGGTTGGACAGGTCTCCATCGGAAGCAGGAGCCACTGATCCTGATGGGGGGACAGGGCAGAGAGGGGGTGCCCCGGCTGTACTGTCCTTGGTCAGGAAGAGAGGACACAGCTCCTGCCACCACCACCAAGAGCCTGGCTGCAGCTAGGCGGGGAAAGAAAACCAGAGGAGGAGCCACCAGGAGCCACCAGGAGCGCCCAGTTAATGCTGCAGAGCTCGAGGGAGCACGTGGTCTTTAAACTCAGATTCACACCCAAGTAGGCAAGCCAGTGTGCTAGCCAGGGGAGTGAAGTAGCTGGGGACAGAGAGGGTGCATAGTGGAGGACGGAGGGCATGCCCTGCCCGGCCACCTCAGAGGCAAGGGCACTCCCCAGGATGTGCACTGTGGTGTCCTTTGCCTCCCGAAGGGAATATACTTCCCCTCAAGCTGGTTCATGGTCAGCGTCTGCACTGGGTCTCCACAGCGGCAGGGGCCCTTCCACCTCTCGGTTGCACTCTGGATGGGTGCACACAGGGTGCTGTCCTGCAGGTCTGAGCCCCCCATCCTCCCTGGCCAGGTTGTGGGGACTTCCTTCAGGGAATCAGACTCCATTTGGCTGAACTGGAAAAGACTGGGACTGGGGTGTGTGCCTACCCTTCTCAAGGGTCCAAAAAGGTCAGCAGCCAAGTAGAGGAAGGAAGGCATGGTAGAGGCCTGAGCAGGTGTAGCAGACACCAACCTGATCTCACCTTCCCCCATCCCCATCCGGACACATACCATCAGATCCGTGCTATCTATCTGCCCTGACCCCTAGAAGGCGCCCTCCCCATCAGAAACCAACCCTGTCCTCTTCCCAGTAACCACCTCGCAGGGAGAAGGTTTAGCTACAGTAAGGTGGGCCTCATCTCGGCTAAGTTTGCATAAACACCTTTCACACCCTCACCCTCACCAACACGCTCATGCCCACACTGCCAAAGGCAGACACCCAATCTCACACAGCTCCTGGTGAGGTGGGAATAAATGTCCGCATGGGCACACAGTGGCTGGGGGTGGGCACAGACTGGGGCCACCAGGATTTATCTCATCACCATGAAATGACAGGGAAGAAGCAGCAAGATTGCTAGCTTAGGGGTTGGAGAAGTTAGAAACCACGATAGTTTAGGAAAGAGTCCTGGGAAGGAGGGGATTCTGGCTTGCCAAGGGGCTGCCCACTTGGAAGGGGGCAGGGGTGGCACTGGAGTGACGCAGTCTTCCAGGTCAGCCACCATGGCCCCCACCCCTTCACAGGACCCAGAACTGAAAGCCACACAGGCACACAACACACTCGAGTCGCCCGGGCTGGGACATGTGAGGCAGGAACTGGGGACCTGGGCCCTCCCCACCAGCTCTGGCTCCTCCTGTCTCCCGGCTGGACCTGGGCAGGGCCAGGACATATGGGAGGATCCAGGCAGGTGCGACAGTCTGAGACTCAGTCCTTTCCACGTGGGTCCCCAAGGCAAGTGCGGCCCAGTCATTCAGCCAAGCAGCGTCCCTGCAGCCTTTCGCTGCTCCCCCGTTCATTTAACGGCACCTCCGGGCGCCTGCCCCTCACCGTGGCCGGCACTGTGTGGCTGCAGTCCCGCTGGGCTGGCTAATGAGGTCGGACACAGTGCATGGGAACGCCGCTCTGGGCCCCTCCCGAGGCCGCGTTCCCCACCATAAACCGCGGCTGATTCTGTGCTCCCAGCCCCTCCACCATCTGCAGCCCCATTGGTTCCTGCGGCTTTATAAATCCTATTAAGTTCCTCATTTCTCCTCTGAGCATTATTTTATTTTAAAACAGACACAGACAATGTACTGTCAGGGAGGCTTTTGAGGGGCTGCTGGGGGACCAGCTGATGGGTATTGCCCCTCCCGTTCCCCCCCACCACCTCTGGCCTGAGGCCCTAGGAGCGTTGTGGCCACCCTGTTGGCCTCCAGATGCTGGCTCTCTCACTTCTAGACTGTTCTAGCTTTTTAGTTCCATATTCGAGGGAGGCAATTTAGTGGGCGAGCATTTAGATGAAATGGGTGTGTAAGCTGGTCCTGCTTTATAAAAATTCAATATTCAGAAGTTTCCATTTCCCTCTCTTAAGGGGCAACAAATGCCTCATTTCACAAAAGCTTCTGGGTGAATAGGAACCCCCAGGGTCCCGCTAGGAAGCTTTAGGCCCAGGCGGGAGAGGGTGCACTACACATGAAGCTAAAGGCCACGGCACATTGAAGATCAATCTGAAAGTATGCCGGGACCGTAGGAATTACGGTTTAAAAAGCAGATTCCTCTCGACGAGATGCATGCAGGGAGGAGGGTGGGGACGGTGTGGGGAAAGCCTTGAAGGGCAGGTGTGAACACCCCGTGGGACCCCCGGAGGAGGTGGCCCTGGCAGGCAGGGGTGTGGGTGGGCAGAGGCTCAACCCCAAAGAACAGACTCATTTGTCAGCAGCCAGTTGAGTCCCAGAGCAGGAGTCCAACCACCTCGCACTAGTCTCTCCTCTCAGAGACCCCAGAATGAACACAGGGTCCCATCCGGGGCTGAGAAGGGGTCCAGTGACTGAGGAAGGAGTCTGCCTCTCAGAGCAGAAAATTCCCCACCTTCACCCGCCCCCTCTGTGTCCCCACAGAAGCCCCTGGAAGCTGGGCGTGGTGACACCCCACTGTGGGCCCATGTGAATGTGTATGTTGGAGGGTACATTTCCACTTCACCTCCGATCAGACCTTACAGACCCCAACATCTTCAACTCTTTTTTAAAAAATATATTTCTTTATTGATTTCAGAGAGGAA